AAGAGCCTGGGATTTTTGTCGCCATAATATCTCCTCCATACTAGCAATCTCAGCAAGAGCTGCCTAACAAGAAGCTCTTCTAGAACGCGAAAACTCCACATCCACACCCGCATCTTCTAGGCGATCAATCTCATAAAAACCAGCAAGGACTCTATGCTTCCTCCATTCAAGATTCCCCAAAACATCTATATTCCACTTCTTAAGATTGAATTTGAGAGCCTTCAACTTTGTAGTTAACATGAAGCTAGACGAGCCTGTAACAACTACTCCTTCCCACCAAGACTGAACTTTCCCTTGGAAGTCCTCCGCTCTTAGCCACACATTCTCAAATCGAAACGGAGACCTTTGAGAACACAAACCTCCACAATCCAAAACCAGAGGAACATGATCAGATGTGACCCGTGCTAAGACTGCTTGAACGACATCCAGGAATTTCTCTTCCCAGTCCCCAGAAATCAAGAAACGATCCAGCCTTGAAAAAGTGACTGGGTCCCTGCCATTTGACCATGTATAGGCTATGCCTTCCATTGGTAGATCAATGAGAAGATGTTCGTCAATGGAATCAGAAAACTGATCCATTTCAGAAGACCTCCTTCCTCCTGTGGACCTCTCTAATGGGAATCTAATAGAATTGAAGTCCCCACCCAAACACCAAGGAAGAGACCACATTTCTGTTTTTTTTTTTTGATAAGTAAAAAATTTAATAAAGAAAGCGCTCAGAAGGGGAGCGAAACCCAAATACAAACGAAAGGCCAAAAAGCGACTCAAGCCTTCAAAGAGGCCAAAAAAACAACAATCTCCTCAATAGATCTATAATCTTTCCCAGAAACCTAACAAAAAAGGGTGGAAATAATAGAAAACTTGAGCATAGAGGAAGGCTTCTCCTTTCCATCGAAATAGCGCTGATTTCTCTGGAGCCAAATACACCACCAAATACAAAGAGGAGCAACCCTCCAAGCATCCTGAATGAGAGCCCCCACTGAGAAACCTCTCCAAGCCTCAATCAACCCCCTAGAGGAGCGAGGCATGACCCAAGGGATCCCAAACAAACCAATCAATAAATCCCAACACTCCCTAGCTAAGCTGTAATGTAATAGAAGATGATCCACAGTCTCCTCATCGCTCCAACATAAGTAACATCGATTAATCACCACCTGATTCCTTCTTCTCAAATTATCTTGAGAAAGAATCTTACCCAAGACAAAGGTCCAAGCAAAGAAGGCCACCTTGAGAGGAGCCTTAGACCGCCAAATAGACTTCCAAGGGAAAGGGCCTCCAAAGCCAAGCGAAAGACACCTGAAAAAGGACCGAACCTCAAAACGGCCTTTAGAGTTATGATCCCAAAGCCAACAATCCGAATCCCCAACTGTAATCACCTGGCGGTACAACAAATCCAAAAAGCGAGTGACCTCCTCAATCTCCCAATCCTGAAAATGCCTCCTAAACTGAACATCCCAAGACAGTCTCCCGTTATCAAGATGATAACAGTCAACCACCATGGCCTGTCTATGAGAAGCAATCCTGAAGAGCCGAGGGAAAGCAAGAGCAAGAGGACGCTTTCCACACCAAAGATCCTCCCAAAATATGATCCTCCTCCCATCTCGAATCCGAAAACGAACATGTTTGCTGAACTCATCCCACCCCTTCCGGATGAAAGACCACACCCCCACCCCTCTAGGACCACGCACCTCAAGAGAACACCATCCTCCCAAACTCTCTCCAAATTTGAGCGCAATAACCCTCCTCCAAAGCCAACTCCTCTCAACCCCAAACCTCCAAAGCCATTTCCCAAGGAGAGCCTTGTTGAAAGGCTGCAATCTCCTAATACCCAAACCTCCACTCCGAATCGGGCAACAAACTTGATCCCAACGAACCAAATGAAACTTGAACTCTTCGCCTCTTCCCCCCCAAAGAAAATTGCGCTGCAATCTTTCAATTCTCTCAGCCACAGAAGAAGGAATTTGAAAGAGAGATATGAAATACGTGGGGAGGCAAGAAAGAGTACTCTTAATCAGAGTGACCCTGCCCCCCTTAGAGAGGTACTGCTTCTTCCAACCTGCCAATCTCTTCTCAAATCTATCCACAACCGGATCCCAACTTCCCAAACACCTCGAAGGAACACCCAGAGGCAGCCCCAAGTAAGAAATGGGAAAAGAGCCAGTGCGACATCCAAGAATCTGAGCAAACGTCTCGATATCAGGGACCTCCCCAACTGGCACAAGAATGCTCTTTCCGACATTAATCTTAAGCCCAGAAACCACTTGGAACCAAATCAAAACGCATTGCAGATATCTCAACTGGGATGCATTCGCATCACAAAGCACTAAAGTATCATCAGCGAACATCAAGTGGGAGATCTCCAACTGACTAGCAGCATCCCTACCCACCCGAAAGCCTCTCAAAAAGCCCAATTCGACCACCTTCTTAATCAATCTGCTAAGAGCCTCCAAAAAAAGGCCGATCAATATCAACAACTGGTCCATAGACCCCAGTGAAAACCCATCTAAAATTGTCCTCTTCCAATTTGAACTTGCAAGACACTGAGAATCTCCCCACCCACATCCAAGACAACCATCTACAATCTCACATAACTAAGATACCGCCCGAAGTACCTATAGCATTCAAGACCTCCCATTCCACAAACCTTCCTCCCCACAAACTTCTAACCACTCCATCAGAAATAGAAGTTAACTTTGTTTCTTGCAAACAAACAACTTGGGCCCCCCACTTCCTTAAAGCTACCTTTACTACCCTCCTTATATTCGGGTCATTGAGACCACAAACATTCCAAGTAATAATTCGTAGCTTCATTAAAAACCAGATAAGATGATCTCCCCTCCTCCCTTCGTCGAACTCCGACTCCTAGTCCTTCCCCTCTCCCTCACCATCCCTTTCTTCCCTTCATAATTGACTTCAGAGATAAGATTCTTGATCTCCTGTGCCCCTTTGCAGGACGATATAGGCCTTGTGTTCACTACCTCTTCAGTCACAGCTACCTCTCTTCCATCCACTATTGCTTGTAGAATGGATAGTGTCTGATCATTGTTCCCCTCTGAAGAAACACCCAAAAACTCACTAGCAGCTCCTATGTTTTCAATCATCCAGTCCTTACCCAAGTCAACATCTGTTTCTGAACAACCAGGTCTCTCAATTGCCAATGGTTCCTCCTCTATCACTTCAGAAAAATCATTCTCCAGCCAAGGGACAAACTCGTTGGAGCAGACTTGTTGGATGGAAACCAGATCAGTAGCCACCTCCTCATCACAATCCCTTTCAAAATCAAATGACTCTATAAATGAGTCTGAATCTGTATTGTAATCTCCCATTCCACTACTCAGGAAACTGACCAATTTATTCTCCTCAACCCCTCCAGACGGCATGCAATTAAGGCCTTTCAAGGCTACATAAAGGCGGAGTTCTTTGAGCAGAGCCATTGCTGACTCATTAGACAGCTGAAAGTGAAGGTCTCTCCCTAGATGGACCAAAACCCCATCTGATAAGTCCTGAACTGCACAATTAAGTGGATCAGATTGCCCTGAATTGACAAATCCGCTGGCATTCTTCCTATCTGTAACCAGCCCATACTTGTCTGCAGGTGCCGAAGGCACAACAGACAAAACACTGCTCTTCTCCATTGACATCTCAACATTGCCCCTCACCGCCCCACAAGAGAGAGAGGAAGAAGAAGAAGGTGCTGTAAGGGACCTCTGGGGATGAATAACAGAGGACATACCTGGGTCAGTGGAGGTCCATTACTGTTTATCTTTTCTTGACCATCTATAAACATGGCTGTTTCTGTGAGAATCCCGAGGTGAAAGTCTAGAGTTGCTTCCCATTATCCGAGTAGTAGCTGGTAGGGACTTATTTGAAGCATCAGCGCAACACTGTAGATGACGAAAGACCTTCTTGTCTAATCCCACTCCAGCCTCTTCGTCACTAAATTTCATTCATCTCCTCCTCCGGCGAGTACCAGAAATTTGCAGAGAGAGCGTGATGAAGACGACCCTGTTGATGATTGATAATGGGTTCGGTAGTTGGACTGGGCTTTGTGTTTTAAAGATTTTTAGGCCTTATATGTAATGCATCTTTTTCATATCGACTGATGTGCCTTGATCAAGTAGCATCTCTGGCTCTTCAAGCATGCTGACCCTCCAAAAGTCGTAAGATTGCTTCTATTTCTATGGTAGTACGGATAGCATACAACTATACTTATATACCTGCTGGGGGTTGGTTCTTGACTTTTGACTTTTGAGTAATCATCTGCCCAATCCAGAATCCAGTGAGGTTTTTTATTTTTTATTTTTCCATTATTGGACTGAATTAGTCGGGTAAACAAGCATATCCATTAAGGTGCAGTTGTTCCAGTACTCAGGTTGATTTGTCTCAACTTGCACCCTCAATTACATGATTTGGAAACTTGAAAAATATAATGGCTATTTATAATTATTTATACGTGGAGATTATTGATTCCATTATTGATTTATTGTATTTTTATCTTTAAAAACACTCCTTGTCCATCCCTTTGATGCCCTATTACTTGGTGACACCAAAATTTTATGTTCACATTTACCACATGGCACTTAAATTTTGGACCTGGGAGGATAGTTATGTCTGGGATTTCTTGAAAAATTCAAGGGCAATGGGGATTTTTTGCGTTCTAATATTTTTTTGGACAATCCATATTTAATTTAAACTTAATCGCAAAAACTCGAGATTCTTGCGTGATTTTCAATTTTTGTCTCAATAAATGAATGAATCGGGACTTCCTGATGTCCTGAGCAGTGGAAAAATATTTATTCCTCATCCATCTTGTCTGGTTTGCTTTCAGTTTCCCATGCATCCCCTTTGAAGGTTAATTCTAAATATAATTTGGCGACCTTGTATCGATGCAATTGGCTAATCATCTTATAGTTTCATTTTTGGTACCAAATATATTGCAGCTAATTCTTAATTTACTGAATGCAATCTTTTACAATAATGCATGCTTGTTATTATTACAGGAGAATAGGTATTGAGGCTAATGAAGAGCTAAGGTCTATATTCAAGAGGACAGTTCATCTCATCCTCCAGGTTAGACTGGTGAAATAATACAATCGGCCGATGAATAGCATATCTGGGATATTACCTTTTCCTACTACGCCACCTGCTTTGTGTATATAGAGAGGCCGCTCGGTTGTAGTACTGTATTTTGCTATCATTGCTCAATGTCTCTTTGGACATATGGATCCCAAAGATCCATTTCGCAATGATTTATTAGCAATATGATATAATAACCTCGTATGAAGGAAGAAATCCCATAATTTCTCTTTTGTCATCTACTAATCTCTTGAAATTTAAGATGAGAGTCGCTACGATCTTGGTCTCAATAGAGTCATTTTTGTTTGGCTAATGTTGTATTTACATACCAAATATTCAAAAACTTAATTGATGTACTTTTTTTTCCCTTTCCTTACCAACGGTTAAGGAATTGAACTCTTAAAGCTTTGTAAGATTTGTGATTCCTTTTTTTTTTTTTTTTTGAATAAAATTTATTATTCTATTTCTGGGGTTGTTTCTTTGAGATCTTGTCGAAGTACTTCTTAAAGTTCCTATGTATTTTCTTCATGTGCCTTTTGTTTATGAGAATTGGATTCACAAAAAATTTGTCCTTGTAACTAGCATTGTGTGTGCGGGGTGTTAAATGTGGCACATTCAGATATGTCCGGAATTGTGTCTGCGCGCGCGTGTTTTGCACATATAAGACGTGTTCTGAATCCTACGGGTGAGTGAATATTTCTGTGTTGATGTACAACAATTCTATACATTAGCTAATACAAGAAATTATATCTCAACTCATAAATGGTATTTCCTTCACCACTCCTAATTCACAGCGTGTACATTTATTATTGTATTCCATGCAATCTTATGCAGAAATATCACCTTGTTTAACACAAGATATTAAGATAATTAACAGTACGTGTTCCTTTATATGACCCATCTCATACAGAATTTGATTAATCTAGACTTATCAGTCGCTAAGTTATATAAAGGGAGAGCGAAGCGGCAAAATTTAAGCCACGGGTTTGAAGTAGAAGCATGAGAGCGGGAGCGTGAAAGCGGTAAAATCTAAGCTAAGTTATATAAAGGGAAAGCGAAAGTGGCAAAATCTAAGCCACGGGTTTGAAGTAGAAGCATGAGAGTGGGAGTGTAAAAGCAGTAAAATTTAGCCCACAGGTTTGAAGTAGGAGCATGAGAGCAGAAGTACGAAAGCGGCAAAATTTAAGCCACAGGTTTGAAGTAGAGCATGAGAGCGGGAGCAAGGTTTGAAGTAAGAGTATGAGAACCGCACCATTTAGAAAAATTGTGAGACATTGTAATAGAGATGCACATTAGAGATTTTGCCGGTCTTTAGTCACACCATAATGAACTACTTAAGACATTAAACAAACAGCACATAACTGATGACAGTTGAAGTAACTTCTTGCCTGCCAAAACAACATTCTAATAACTAGCTACTAACATAACAGCTACTACAACTACTATCTTCTTGCTTCTGCAACAAAATAAAAACTTTTGCATGGCACTAGCTAGCTACTACCAAGAAAGGGAAGCGTCAACTGATCCAGAAGTCCTGTGACCGGTGTGGCGAGCCTTGGCTCATAAGCAAAACCATGCAATTCACCACCTTCACCACTGCTGCCACAGTTACCATGAACATAAGGACATGGAGGAATCCACACCCACGTCTTTCTACAGAAATCGAACAGCAACGCCTTGTCAGACGATCCTCGAACTATCACAACGACGAAGTCCCCGTGGCCAACGCAGTCGAACCCACGACCACCGTCCACCTCCGCAAACTGAACATACAGTTGCTGTGGCATCCTCTCTATCTCCACCCATGTCCCACAACTCTGCAAGCTCCAAAGCCTCAAGCTTCTAGGCACATTGAGCTTGCTCTTCTCAACTGCTGCAACAAGAATCAACTTCCCTTGGATCTCCACCAAGCTCGGCCAACGTAGAAACCTTCGCATTGGGGCTTGTAACTTGCACCAAGTGTTTGATGCAACATCATAAGACAATACACTAAATGGGCTATAGTTCATGCAGTAGAATTTCCCTTGGACGAAAACCATTCTACCCGATTCGAGGCTGCAAAGTCTAGGGAGAGAAGAAGTTGTGCCCCAAATGGAGTAGAACCCTCCTGCATCAATGTGAAAGCTTTCTGTTGTAAGATTCTTGACTGCATATGGCGAAACCAAGTCATCTCCGGCTAGGGTTACGTCTATCGAAGAAGAACTGACGGATAAGCCGATAGAAGGGAAGAGTCTAGGCCTTAGTGTGGGAGGCAATGGAGCTAGTGACCCAACAAGAGGGTTGCAGAGAAGGAGGCTCTTGGAACCGGCATCGTCGGACACCCAACAAACAAGTCCACCGGACGATGAGGCCGGAGAGAATCCGGGTGGAACTAGGGCAAACGAAAGCCGGTACCAAGCCACGTCGTATGGATCAAAGAGGTATCCTTCACAGTTGGCTCTGTTGATGTTGCTTTGGGGGTCAGTGTTGCTTCTACAGATATGGCTCTTAAGGCCTTTTTGCTTGAAGAAAAGGAACCAATGGCGACGAGGCGATACTTGGAGATACATTTGAAGGAAGCTGTTGGAGAATATGAGTCCGTACCATCTTTTACAGACTGCTCGAGCTCGAAAAAAGGCCGGTGGTGGTAGAAAGGCGATGACCCGGTCGAGCAGCCTCTGTGGGAGCCTACTCCATAACCTACTGTCCATCCAAGGACTTGCAATGGTACCACCAATATTGCTACCATTAGTAGTAGTAGTGAAGGTGTAGGAATTGGATGTGTTGAATATTGAGGGGATAAAAGCTTCCATATCAAATGGTTGGTTTGTTTTCCAAAAGCTTGCTATTATAGTGCTAATTGACAATAGTAAAAGCTCATTCTAGGGTTGGCCTTTTCACAAACAGAACAAAAGGGTGTAAGGGTATTTGGTTGGTGAAAGTTTTTGGAAGCCATTTCTATTGGGAAAATTAAGGTAGTTTTGGGATATTTTTAACTGTAAATGCATTGTGGGGGTTTCTCAATTTCAGTGGGAGTTGAGTTGAAGGAGAGAAGGTGCTAGAAGACATGTAAAAAGAGAAAAGACATGTTTCTATAAGGAACAAAGGGGTGGTTGGTTGCTCCTTTTACCTGTCTTCTTTGTTGGGTCGTTTTGGATTGCTCATTTCTTTTTGGTAGGACAAGTGTTTATATAGGATGGGACTGTCTCTCTTTTCTATGTTGTTTATGGTTTCTTTGTTCTTTCGTTTGTTTCGAGAGACTGCAGTGAAATTTTACAGTGGTGGTGACGGATCCATCTATCATTTCAGTGTTTTCATGTCAAGGCCAAGGAAGGACAAGTGCTAGCGAGAGAGAGAGAGAGAGAGATAGAGAGAGGGGTACCAAAAGTGTCTTTGCATTAATATTGACACTACATACAAAACAAATGTCCACTAACCCAACTTTCAAACATTCAATGGGAGAGGTAAAACATATGCAGTTTGTATAACCAACAAGCTATTCCTATTTTGGTACGAGTAGTTTGAGCTTTTTTCTCTTTTTCTTTCTTTTCTTTTTATAGGTAAACTAGAAAGAAATGCTTGTGTTAAGACTTGGCAGTTAGTTTGAGGAAGTTCTCCAATGTTACCTAAAGAAAAAAAGGAGAAAAGCCAAGAAATTAAGAGAGGAAGAAAATTAAAAACAAAAACTATTTGCAAAAATTTGAAATGGTGGAAAATGTATACATTCAATTGTATATTTGTGCATATATATAGAGAGAGAAGTAGTTAGTAATTAAAGTGGATCATTTGTCATTGAGGACCTAAGGTACAATGGTATATTCCATACTCGGTCTAATGGAAGTTTTGGGTGTGCAAATATCTCTAGGAAGTTAGACAGAGTTCTAATCAACCAGCCTTGGATGGCTAAATTTACACAAGCGGAATGCCATTTCCTACCACAGGGAATCTCAGACCACTCTCCTATGGTGGTTAATTTTGGTTCACTAGCCCCTAAAAAGAACCTCCCCTTCAGGTTTTTCAATTTCTGGGCATTAAATCCTAACTTCTCAACAATTGTTTCACAAGCTTGGCAAATGGAGGTGCATGGTTCAAGAATGTTTAGGTTGGTTCAGAAGTTGAGAGCTTTAAAACAACCACTTAAGCAGATGAATAAGAAGGAGTTCAGTGCAATCTCAAGAAGGGTAGCGGCTGCTAGAGAGGACCTGTCCCTTTGCCAGAGAAACCTTGATTCTAACCCATCAAATGATGTACTCAGACTCAGGGAGAAGGAGCTATCACAGAAATTCACTGAGCTTTTACTGGCTGAGGAGATGTTCTTCAAGCAAAAATCTCAGGTACATTGGCTTAAGGAAAGAGACCAGAATACCACATTTTTCATGAAAAACTTCAACTCCAAAGCCAACAGGAGGAAAGTTCGTTCAATTACTGATCTAAATGGGAATCAAATCCAAGGTCAGGACCTTAAGAATGAGTTGCTCAACCATTTTCAAAGCATCCTTGGCCAATGCAACTTCAGCTATCCAGGTATGGATTCATTCTCAGAAGTTATCACAAAGACTGTACCATTAAACCTGCTACCTTCCTTAACAGCAATCCCCACAGACCAAGAGATACAGGATTGTATTATCTCATTCCACCCCTACAAGAGCCCGAGTCTTGATAGATACAATTCTTGTTTCTTTAAGCACTCCTGGCCAATTGTGGGGCAGGATGTCACTGCAACTATCAGGGATTTCTTCATTTCAGGGAAAATATTGACTGAAATCAATAGTTCATATATTGCTCTAGTGCCCAAGAAACCAAACCCTACATCAGCCAATGATTTCAAACCTATTTCCTGTTGTAACATAATCTAGAAGGCCATATCCAAACTCATCTCCATCAAGCTAGCTCCTATACTTCCCTTGCTTATTAGTTCTACCCAAACTGCCTTCATTAAGGGTTGACACATATCTGACAACATTATACTAGCACATGAGCTTCTAAATGGCTATCATAGAGCAAACCATTCCCCAAATTGTGCCCTAAAAATTGATTTAAGGAAGGCTTTTGATTCCATTCACTGGCAGTTTATCCTGGACACTCTTCAATTATTTGGTTTCCCAGCTCTTTTTATCAATTGGATTAAACAATGTATAATTACACCAACTTTTTTAATCTCACTGAATGGGGAGATGTTTGGTTACTTCAAAGGAAAGAGAGGTACCAAAGAAAGAGATCCTCTTTCCCCCATGTTGTTTGTTATTGCAATGGAAGTCTTGTCACTATGTATTAACAAACACATTGCAAACAATCCAAGATTCAGGTTTCACTGGAGGTGCAAAAGGCTGTCAATCACTCACCTCTCTTTTGCAGATGACATTTTGATGTTCTCACATGCTAACTTGGACTCAGTTCGGGTGTTAATGGAAGCTCTATCTTTTTTCTGTAATATTTTTGGAATGCAGCTGAATAGGGAGAAATCCAAGGTTTTCTTCTCAAGGGTTGACAATGGTCTGAAAGCAGCAATTTTATCACTTTTTTAGTTTGAAGCAGGTTCACTTCCTGTCATGTATCTTGGGCTGCCACTTTCTTCATCCTTAATTAAAGCAAGGGACTGCCAAACACTCATTGAAAAGATCACAACAAGAATTGGAAGCTGGACGTCAAGTTTTTTATCGTATGCAGGAAGGGTTGTTTTGGTTAAATCAGTTCTTTGTTCCATTCAATCATTTTGGTTTCAGGCTTTCATTCTTCCCAAAAAGGTTCTTGAGCAAATCAACCAACTGCTTAGAAGCTTCTTTTGGTCTGGGGTTGATTTAAAGCATAAGGGAACAAAGGTGGCTTGGCAAGCTGTGTGCAGACCCAAGTGTAATGGTGAGCTTGGTTTTCCAGATTTGGAGCTGTCTAATAGGGTTGCTAGATGGACACTGGAATACCTTGTAAAATCAAAGAGCTTTTGGGCCCTTAAAACTTCATGTCTGAGTTCAGGGTTTTGGAGGAAACTATTAGGACTGAGGACAATGGCAAGAGGTCTACTAAGGCATAGGGTGGGGACAGGGAAGGATACTAGCTTATGGTTAGACTACTGGTTACCAAATGGTCCTATTGTACAACAATTGGGTCTCATTGGTTTGGAAATTCTTCAACTAGATAACAACATCTTAGTTGATAAACTAATTTCCAACAACCAATGGGCCAATCCAACCACTATTCAGCTTCACCAATTCTTCTAATCTAGAAGTTTCATATCCCAATTACATGAACTACCCTCACCCTCCTCCAATCCAGATTCAGTCGAAAGGTTACCTTGTCCAAACAGAGATTTCTCTATAGCTCACATATTAAAATACTTCAACCCTGCATCACCAATCTTTACTTGGCACAAAGTGGTATGGTTTAAGCATCACATCCGTAAGCATAGTCTCATTCTTTGGCTGGCTGTAAGAGGAAGGCTCTACACACTTAATGCCAAACCTGTCTTATATAAACACTACACAAACAGGTGCTACCTCTATGAGACAGATTGGGAGTCAATTGACCACATTTTCTTCAAGTGTGATTACTCCTCTAACATATGGAAGTTTGTTCAAGAAGTGGCTGGGTTCTACAACAGGCCTAACAGCTGGAATGACATGATCCAATGGTGCTCCACACACTGGTTATCAACAGATTACTTAGTACATAAGCTATTGTGGGTAGCTGCAGTGTAATTTATTTGGATGGAAAGAAATGCTAGAGCCTTTAGTAACCAAGCAACACCCTACCACAACATCATTGCACAAGTTAAAAGCTGTGTGAGAGCCAGACTAACAACACTCAAGTTAAAATCCAGCTCTGACATGATGATGATCAACTCTCCCTCTCAGCTACAAACTCTCTTTCAGCAGGGATGTTCCACAGCATGTAGATAAGCCTTACTCCTACCTTGACCTTTGTTGCTGAGAAGGTTTTAATGGAATGCTGTCGTGAGGCTTTGGTATTCATTACTTGCTACTGTTGTTTCTGCTGAAAAGGTTGTAGTTTAATTGGATGGTTAGCTTTTGAGTATTTTGCTTGTAGCAGATCAAAATTTGTATTGGTTGTTTCTTCTTTGTTGTTGGTCTTTATTATATCTTCCCCATCTGGGGACTCACTGTAAATTTTTTCAACCTTATATACAAGCTTACCTTTAACGAAAAAAAAAAAAGATTCATGGTTTTGCCATTCATAAAAATAACAACAAACTCATGCTCATAATCCGGCAGGTATGTTTCAAGGTTTTGGATTACTACCTTACTAGATCTCAAATTTGAGTTTTATTTTGAGCAATATTCATAATTTGCTAGTGCATGCACTCAAAATGGGCATTTAAATTGCGCGGTCTCACATTGGGACTCACAAGCAAGTGCAGAGGAAGAGAGTGTCGAGTTTGAGTGTGGCGAAGTCTCGTCTTTTAAATCTCCCAAGCGAGCCTATCTCAGTGGCCCATCACCTAGAGTTAAAAATACGAGAATAAAGTTCATCGGCCAAAGAATGGTCAGGCCACTAGAACCATGGACGTTGTCCTTCCAAACACTTGAGCATCCCAAAGTGAGGGAAGTGACAGATCCAATCAACGAGGTACTCAAGTGCCTAGAATAAGGGGCAATAGAGTAGGTGACAGACCCGGTGGCAGGTCGTCAAGTCAAAAGGATGCTCCATACTTTGAATTAAATGCGATAGTCCATCTGTGCCATTCGATCCCGGCTTTACTATATGTACGTGTTGGGAAACGTGCAATATTTAAAAACTTTTTGAGGGATTTTGATTCATAAATCTTGATTCATCACATAGAGACAAGTTTTATGCAAAAATAAAATATGATGTCTCATTCAATAAAACTAGATTGAATACTTACATCAAAGGTTTGAGTAAATCTTTAAATCTTTCCTCTAAAGTGAATGTTTTCACTTATTGTAGATCCCTTACCAAAATGCCTTCTCCTTGGATCTCCATCTTCTTGGTAATTGTTTTGCCTTTAGGAATCACTCATAAGCCTCCATGAATGACCTTGGAAAACTAGGCTTGTGGGAGCCTCCATTAGATGAGAACATAAACCCTAATTTTCTAGAGAGAGAAAATAAATTCCTTTTTCCTTCTTCCCAAAAATCACCCTTAAAAATATACATAGACCATGTATATTTATAGGCAACATAAAGGTAAATAAAAGGAAACAACTAATCCTTTTCAATCTCTAATTCACATGTCTCAAATCTAATATGATTCCAATATCAAGTTGGGCTATGAGTGAGAATTCATTGGGCCTATTATTTTATTGGCTATAATGAATTAATAATTGGCCTAGTCCATGGACCCAATTCAATTAATTCATAAATTAATTTCTACTCCACTAAAAGAAATTAATTGAACTCCAATTAAATAATAAATAACCTCTAAATCAATATTGCACTTTGACCCTTCTATGCATAATTAGTTATCGGATAAATAAAGCCATCAATCCGACTACTTAATTAACATATTTATTTTGGTACCTTTGATTATTTCTGCCTCGATCACAATAAAAAATTTGTTTGACAAAAATAATAATTTAAATAAATAAATATATAATAAATCATTTTGTCTAAAAACACACGAAGACCTTCGAATTTACTTTGTGACCAACCATAATCAATACAAAATAAATACAAGTAGCAATGATGCAAATATCGAAAATATAACCCTCTAACTATTAATTACATAACTACCCAAAGTGTCGGTCTAAGGATCCCGAAGAATCCGTCTAACAAATCAAAGTAATTATTAATTAATAAAAGAGCCTATAATTTTCTCATGCTTAAGAGTCAAATGTCATGACGGTGATACGGAGCAATTGCATACGACGGTTCTTGCAATATATCTCAACCTAACGCGGATCCAGTTCAAATCTTAATTAATTATGAGTCCATCCATAATTACCGACTATGAACCATTTATGATTACTATTTATATATCATGCATTGATTGCCATCACATACATATATATAAATATTTCTTGTAATCAAATGGACACTATCAATGCTATAATGAATCGAAATATAATACATTGAATTCACCAATTGTATAAAACATAAATATTTCAGAAACATCGGGAACATATGTCACTTTAATCCAAACAGGAATATGCTATGCCAGGGCATATAAATCCCAACAGTACGTGCATATGACAACTTGTATTCCAGAGGACTATCCCAGTTGTTTATGAGAAATCCAATCCACGATCCATGACTTTGACTATAAATAGAACTCATTTATGTCTGAATAAAGATCCAACACTAACAACACAACTAAGTTCATATTGTCTTTCTTGTGGTCTTCAATATTCCACATTTGTCTTAGTTGTAGCTTACCTCCTGCAAAATAGCTCAAGGTTGATTACCTTACCTTTGTTTCCTATTTTTTCTTTCTTTAAGTTTCTTGCTTTCAATTTCAGCATTTATATTTAATCTTTGGTTAACATTTACTTTGATGCATTTACTGTTTTGCTTCATTTATGTTGTAGTGTTAAGCCTTCAAGTTTCTCTTTTGAATTATTATGAGGTCTCTCTCTCTCCTTCTACATAAAATAAATTAAATTTTTTAAAAAAAAATCCTACTTGGCTGGTAGAGCCCTTTGATTAGGGCCAAAATGGTGGAGGTCCAGAAGGATCTATGAGAGTCTCATTTCTGTTATCCACAGTCGTCCAAGTCAGATAAGGTTAAGGCTATAGCCCTATTGGTAGTAATACCAGGAATATTAGCTTGACTTTGCATAGTTTGGTTTCATTAAGGCTTGGAATGTATTATTATTATTAATATGCTAAGGGTTTGAACAATATGAAATTTAAATTAATTTACATGTTGTTAATGGAGAATATAATTGCTTAAATTGTGACGGCCCGAATTTCATAGAACTCGGTGCACAAATCGAACCGATCACGGTCTTGGCATGCTTGTAGGTGAGGAAACTCATGCGCACCCCTAACCAAGGCACGCTTTAGGCCAAACAACGAGTAATTACATATATTTGTGAGTAATTGCATATATTCAAAGTTTATGTTGTAGTCACCTCTCCAATGAATGCCTGGTTGGATATGCTTATGTCTTGTTAGATGTTTTTATTTTTGGTTAAGTTTGTTGTAAAGAGGGGTGACCACAGATCAGTTTAGATAACCTAAATCAATTCGATTCGTAAGCTAGAAAATTTAATTCTAATCAATCCCTACGGATTCCTAATTTTTGAATCCACCACTGAACTCGCAAGCTAAAAATTGATATTGAATCGAATCGGATTCATGGATCAAATGAACACCTTTATTTGTAAAGTACTTAACCATGATGGCCAGGATTAATGCGGTGAAAATTTGTGATTAAACATTCTTCATCAATTGGATGAAACGTGATTAAGGCATGCTCGCCTTACAATTAAATGAAACTAGAGCAGTGTCCACAATGCTTCTGCTACTGCGAAGTTTGAAAAGAGTTAGATTTACGCAATAGTACCTCTACGCAACATACATATATATCACAATAGAGCACCCTTTTCATTGTCCCGGCTGTTTATGAAAACTAATACTATTGTTTAATTATTTATTTAATTTTGATTTATATTTTCTGTCATCGTTTTGAGGCATCAAATCCTGATAAGGTGTGTACGAGACACAGTTTCAGATCATATGTCCAATCCCATCCGAGTATTGAATTTATGCACAGTTAGAGTCAAATAAAACATAAAACTATTAGATGAGGAGAGAACTTTAATGATAAGAAGAGATCTTAATTGTCTGAAGAGAAGACTCTCTCTACTTTCTCTTTTCTCCAAGTCATCATATTCTCTTTATGTAAACCACTTGGCCTTTTGTCATACTTTTGACAAGGGAAGCAAATATAAGTCAGCTCTTCCCATGCACCAGTACTGATCCACCCTTGTCTTGTTTTTGTCAATCTTTTAGTATGATCATCTCACCCTTCAAAAATGGAAAAAAACAAGTGGTGACCAGATCAGGAAATTGTGTTCTCTCTACAAGAAACCTCCATAAAAGGAAAAAGTGATGATGTTCGGATCTGGAAGTTTTTTATTCCTTCAGGAAATTAACCTCACCAAGTTTCATGACAGTGAGTCAGTACTCATGAGATTCTGGGTTGTACTTTGTAATTACTGTTTACTCTTTCTGCATTTTACTGCTTTTATTTTGTTACTGTGTCTCTCTTTTTTTTTTTTTTTTTTTTTTTTTTTTTT